CCTGAACCCTGAACCCTGAACCCTGAACCCTTAACCCTTAACCCTGAACCCTTAACCCTGAACCCTGAACCCTAAACCCTAAACCCTTAACCCTGAACCCTAAACCCTGAATCCTGAATCCTGAACCCTGAACCCTAAACTCTGAACCCTTAACCCTTAACCCTGAACCCTTAACCCTGAACCCTGAACCCTAAACCCTAAACCCTTAACCCTGAACCCTAAACCCTGAATCCTGAATCCTGAACCCTGAACCCTAAACCCTGAATGAAGCCACCCTTGCCTTGATGTCTTTGCTGCGGGGAACTTCTTGCGGCTTGGCAGCCGGGGCCTCCGGAAATGCTGAGAAGGTATAGGGTTTACGGTTTTAAGGTTTAGGGTTTAAGGTTTTTTTTGGTGTGGGACTTTTTCTCCATGGCCCGAAGTCCCATGGAAAAGCTTTAGGGTTTGGGGTTTGGGGTTTAGGGTTTAGCATTTAGGGTTTAGGGGTTTAGGGTTTAGGAGGCTTGCTGCACTGAAGTCCAGATGGCAAAGCTTATGAACTATGAGGTCCACTTCTGCGCGAGCCAGGACCAGACTGCTAGATATTACGAGCATGTGTGACTTTTCATGCTATTATTACTATTCTTACGGTTTTCTCCTACGTTCCTCTCCTTTTGCTTCGCACAGGTTCAAGGTTGCGCCTGTCGTGGTGCGCCGCACTCCTGTCAGGAAACAGAAGCAGCAGTCATGTGAGCGCACTCGCCAATGTAGGGAAAAGTCGCCAGTGGCACTTGAATAATGAACTCCAAACTGCAGGCTGCGAGTACACATTGCATGCACTGCCCCGCGACCACTTTCATTATTACTAGGCTAACAGACTTTGTGGGCCCGCTCATGCACTTGCCAGATCATCTTTCATGCAGACCCGTGGGTCTCCAAAAATGGGTCTAGCACAGCTTGCTTTGATGAACCCATGGGTCCTGGCAAAACTTGGCTTTTTCAGGAATTTCTGTGCCACACTTCCAGCACATCACAGGCTCTTCCTGCCGGGAGGTGCCGAACTTCCTCTTTTGCGAAAACGGCTGCACGACTGCCTTCGGTGGTGTGGGCACCGTTCGTTGATCTGCGTAGGCTCGCTGCCCCTTCCGCACCTGAACAACTCATCGCCCGTAAAGATTGCCCCAGGGAGAACCTCAAGAGATGCAAGCAAGGGACATCTTCGGGCACGTCTGTCTTTCCGGTCTCGTCGTAGCGCTGTCTGAGACCGACCTGGCCGCTGACGGTGACACGAGCGAGCACTGCCAAGCCAAAGCCAAACAAGACCCGGACATACCCGGACAGAGCAGCAAAAAGTGAACGCATCCTGAATCATCCTGAATCCTTTGCAGCTCAGCGGCGTTGCAAAGGATGACATAAGCAGCCTGCAACTCCGCGAACTCCTCACGGGTGCCACCTTGCGCTTGCACACATTTCCCCTACGCCGCTCGGCAGAAGCCACTTGCATTGAGGCATGGACCCTTATCGGGATGAAGCTGCACAGCCAATTTGCGGTAGGCTGCACGGATCGAGGGCAGGCTCGCATCCTGGGTCCCGGCAAGTCTCCAAAAGCAGAGCTGCTTTGCTCGGCCGAGCCCAGCACAGGGGCACTGGGGACCAGGCCCGCGGGACGCCCAGCACCTCATAGAGGTTCTGGCGGGGAGCCACCATCCCAACGCAGACGAAACTATTCGCTATCCTTGTTCGTTGGCTTTGTGCAAAGCTCAGTGAGGTCTGGGCTCGCAAAGGTTGGAACTTGGCTGAAACAGAAGATGTTGGTGCTTCCACATGTCAAGCATCCGCTTGAGCCCGAGAGGCATCAAAAGTTGAATTCAGAATTCAAGCGGCTCAAGCAGGGTCCTTGCACAAGCACTGCACAAGCTGACAAAGCTTCAACGCAGGCCGGGTGGACCGTATGCACTGCCACGCTGCATTCTTTAAGGCCCATGGCGCAACAAACGGACCGTTCCTGTGCAGAGCATGACCCGCGAGTGGCGAAGAGTGCAATGTACAGAAGATTTTTCCGATGCCTCTTCATGAATGCGCGCAGGTCCTGCGACAGGGTTTGCAAAAACGGCACTCTGATTGCTGCCCTTCATGAGGACATCTACAAACGTATTCAGAGCATTCAGGCGCTGACCATATCCATAAACTCGAAGACAAGATAGAGCGCCTTCTCTTTCGATAAAACTTCGTAGAGCCTGTACAAGAAGAGCCAAGAGGAGGCCAATAATTTGTGACCGACAATTTAATCAGCGAAAACTGACTCGAGCTCTGCCTGATGACATTGGGATGGTCACACTCCTTCAGCAGTGAGACCTGCTGGGGCCAGACCAAACAAATGCTTCTTGGTTCTTGGACCTTGAATATGTGATACAGCATTGCCGTAAATGATGGCGTTGCCAAACCCCCAAGCCTCCCGAATGGCCGTGGCAGGGACCTTGGGCACCGTCATGCGGAATGCAGCATGCGGAATGCGGAGACTGAAGATGAATGGGAGCCAGACGCCCTCCTCATCTAACTGCATGGGAATCCTTTTCAGAGCGAAGACCTTCCACAAGAAAATCACCCTCAACGCCCAAGACGCGTAGCTCTCAAGAGTACAGATGAGGCCGGTCACATAATTTGCGGCGAATCAGGAAGCAGCAAATTCTAGAGCTTGAAAGGCTCCAGAACAAATGCAAAGTGGCTGCTGAGGCGCCTCATTAGTTGTCTGGCTTCTTGCCCTGTAAACCTGATGGAAGAATCTGTCATTTTCCAAACGCCCAGTGCAAACATGCAAGGACATGCAGGGCTTCAGGTGCATGAAGTGGCCTTTCCGTAGGTCCCTTCGCCCAAGAGGATTTCAACACGGAAGTGCTCGCTGACCTGTAGGCCGGAAACCAGCTCAAAGGAGGAGATGCCACTAGCTGTTTCACGCACCTCCGCAGTTTCATCCTCGTCATATTTCAGCATCCTCAAGATGCATAATTGCTCAGAGCATGCATGCTACAGAGAGCCAGTCAGCTCATGCAGGAGCGCCGTGCCTAATTTTTTCTTCAATCTCTGTCCTTGGAGGTGCTCTTGGAATAAGTTCTGACAAGAGCCATGGTAAACAGACAGCATGGACAAGCAAGCTCCCGGCAGAGATACCGGCACAGCCATCATGAATCATCTTCAATAACCCCAAAGCCCAAAGCCCCAAGGGCTCACTCTTGAGAAAACGGCCATGGCATCAGCAAGGCTGAATGCATTCTTGAACCCTGTATGTGTATGCGTCCTTGAGAGGACCGCAGTCTGGCCCTTTTTTGCCGGTCATGCTGCTTTTGCAGCACAGATGCAGATGAGTTCTATGCCGCTGGTTCGCATGGATTATCTTGGGAACCACCTTCTGCAATGTCTAATGTCTGACACCCTTATTCTAGGAAGCTTCCAGCGGGCTTCGTGCATTTCGCGCACCATGCCTCATGCCTACCCTTCGAAATTTTTAATCAGCCCTCGACTCTGCTACTCTCCTACTGAGGCAGGGTGAGCGAAAGTGACGTTCCCTGGCAGCGTTGGCCGGGGAGAGGCATAAGAACCGATGCTCATCGATGCTCATCGATGCTCATTATCAGCGTCCCATCATTCGCCACAGCAGGCCCCGCTTCTTCTTAGCAGAGGCCTGCGGGCTACCGCTGAAGGACTCCAGGAAGGAGGCCACCTGCACATCTCCCTGACTTGTCTTCTGCGCCAGCCAAATGGCCATCTGGATGTTGCCTGGAGGCACACCTGCCGAAGACAAGGCCTCCATGAAGTCACTTGGTTCCAGAGTCCGTGACTCAGCCTCGATGACTTGATGCTGCAGCACTTGCCGAAGAGCTTGGCCCGGAATCTGGCCTTGGGCCCACTCCAGGTGGTTTCTCCAAATGTTTTCCCTTTGCACTTGCACCATGTTGGCAGCGAGTGCCTCAATACCGGCGCCCAGCAAGGCCACCGCTTCTCTCCTAGAAAGGCCCAAAGGTAGGGAGGCCAGAACGGAAGCCAAGGTAGCAAGCTCCAGATGGCCCCAAAGCGCAAGCAAGGGCGGCAAACGGTCAGGTTGAAGGCCATGGCTCTCCATCACAGCAGCTGTCCGTGCACACACCACTTGGATCTCATCTGCTGAGGCATTGTTTGCCTCAACAGCTGGGCAGGGCAGTGCGCCCCCTGGGGCACCCAACACGCCCCCAGAACCACCAAAACGCTCAGCGAACTCCTCATAGTCCACAAGCCCTCCGGAGTTCTTATCCGCGAGAAGGATAAGCGACGTCAACTGGTCTGACCTCAGAAGCACCGCCCTTCCGACTTGCTCCAGCGACACGAAAACCACTTGGGCTCCAGCGTAAGATACCTCTCGGTTTCCATGATCACGCGCCTGCCCCACAAGGGCTTCGGGAAAGGCAAATGAGCCATAGTCCAAACTCCTAGGATATCCCACCCCTGTAATACTCCCCTGTTTAAACACCTATATAGTCCTCCTTTTAAGGAGTTTAGAACCCTATATAGCCCCAATAGAACCCCAATATAACCCTAATATAGCCCCAATATAACCCTAATATAGCCCCCAACATAACCCTAATACAGCCCCAATATAACCATAATATAGCCCCAATATTCGCCCCTAAACCCTAAACCCTAAACCCCAATATCAAAAAGCAGATGGCATCGTTGCATGCCCATCCTGAAGGCTCCCTCGGGTGCCAGGCGCGAGCCACCTGTGCAACGCCGCTGCAGCTCAGAACCTCACTTGCAACATGTGAGCTAGGGTTTAGGGTTTAGGGTTTTTTTTAGGGTTTAGGGTTTAGGGTATTTTTTTTTGCAACGCCCTTTCTCCGCACGCAGAGACTGTCCAGTCGGACTAGGCGAACAGAAAATGCTAGGTCCCCTCAGTGGAGCTCCGGGAGAACTATCAAGGACGCAAGCTCACTCCATATCTCCATGTCCCCCAACTCAATCTCACTCCATGCCGCCCAGGTCAGGTTCAGCCATGCCCTCATCGCCACCACTCTCCGAAGCATTTGTGACCGGGCTGCCACGTTGCTCCACTAACTCTCCATGCCTGCGGGTCTGAAAGGCATGAAGGAGCGAGGCCCCTCCTTGCACAACAACAGCCTCATCGGTCAGGATCCCTTCCACCCAAAGCTGAAACAAGTTGTCCTGGACACACGGCAAGACCAAGAGGGTCATCTCGGTCGAAGAGCTCGATGACGTAGCAGTCGCATCAGACGACGAGGTTGCCCTTGCCGTCAGCTGGCCATGCCTCACACGAACATGAACCGGAGCGTCCTGGTCCGACACCATCGTCCGACAGTATCCGATTTCCCTACCCTCTCGATCACAGACGCTAACTTGAAGTTCACCAGTTCCTTGGCTTCCCTCTGTAGAGGCCCTCCCTGACAGCCTGGGGCGCTTCTGTGGCAGCCCAATGGGCCGTAGCGGCTCGCACTCCAGTAGCACCCTATTCATTGCCTCCGCAAGTTCACTCCACACTTCCCTGCACCACTGGACATCTGAGTCCTCGTAGGCCGAGGCTTGTACGGGGTTCTGTGCCAGCAGCAATTGCTCAACTGCTCGGAGCTGGGATGCAAGCGCCCTGCGACCATGAAGGAAATGCCCAGATCCGCGTAGGTGCTGGAGGAGTAAGAAGGCCCGCACCGCCCTTCGTCTCGGTGACAACTGCTGCAAGCTGTCCTGTAGCGACGTCATCTGAGAGAACATCGGAGTGGCACTAGGCTGTTGCATCAGTGATGATGAGTCCGCCTCCCCATTGGCATCCCTATCTTTATCACCCTTCTCGTCCTTCTTCAGCCACGCCTCCTTGTTGCATGCTTGCTGCGTCTGCGCACGGACTAGGGCATTATTGATCTCTGCCATGACCAGCGCAATGAACCGGTTCCACCCGGCCATCAACTGCAGCAGCTCTGCCGCTGGGGTGTTCAGCGCGAAGTTGTACACCACGTCCAGTTGCTGGTCAGCCACCGCCCTGACCCCTGCTGTTCCGTAGAGCCATGGCTGAGCTCATGTCCACCTCCTTACTAGCATCTCGGCTTGACCCTGATGCCCTGCGTCGCCTAGGTGGCGAAGTCGCCGGTTTCTTGGAGTTCCCAGACGGGGTTGCAGGCTCCTCCTTGTCACAGTGCTCTGCGGGGCGTGCCTGCCACCAGGAATTATCCCAGTTGCCCCACTCCTCTTCTTCCTCATCATCGTCGGGCACCTCGATGGGCTCGCTGCTGGACTTATTGTCTCGTTCATGCCAAGGAGTCTCGAAGGGTCTCTGGGCAAACAGGGTCAGTGCACAGTGCTTGCGGAGCCCCGGCACCCATGGTTTGCCGTCAAGGAGCGATTCCACGCCGGCGCTGGAAGTAGCTTTCTGCAAGTCAGCTAAGATCTCGTCCCGGTGCGTGTTGGGTTCCCAACCTCCAAAGATGACGCCCGGGCGCCTATCCGGGGGATTTGCCCCCGCCGCAGCATGGTCTCGCTGTTGACGAAGTTCACGAAAACTCGCCTGGAGTTGAGAGCACTCCTGACGCAGGCGGTCCACTTCGTCTGCCACATTCTCCGCCTTCTTGGCCGCCTCCTCAGCCACGGCAACCCTCTTTGTAAGCCCGCCGCTTTCCTATTGTTTTCCACAATCTGGCTTGTCTGTTGCTCAAGCAACTGCACTAACGCGGAAGCTTCCATGTCTAGTGAAACTCCCCGGCGGCCAGCACCCAGTGTACTGGAAAAACTGAATCGTGTAACCGAAGATGCCGGCACGAACTTCGAAGGTCTAGCGGACCGGAAGGGCCGAGCTCGGGGTCGGTGAAGGCGCGAACCGCGATGACAGAAGAGACGGGCCCAGCACGGCTCTCAGCGCATGGCGCGGAAGGTTTTTGGGCGAGGGTTTAGGGTTTGTACCCCTGGGTTAAGGGTTTAGGGGTTAGGGTTTAGGGTTTGGGGTTTGGGGTTATATTGGGGTTATATTATGGTTATATTGGGGCTATATTAGGGTTATATTAGTCTAAACTTGTAGTATCCCCCCTAAATAACCACTATAGTAGTTTCTTATATAATCTAATATAGCCCTCTTTAAGGAGTTTAGACTATCGCTAATGTTCCACCAGCACATCCTCTGCAAAGCTTCTGATGTCTTCTGTCTTCTGTTCTTGTGTTCCTTGGGCATGAGGATCTCCAGGAAGGAGTTGGACTCCGAGCCCCTGACTTATTCGGCTGCACAAGCCTCTCTGGGTGATAGCAGCCTCAGGCTAAGCGAGTGCTACCATCAAGGCGGGAGGGCCGCACTAGGCCGAACACTGAAATCCACGTTGGAGGCTTGCAGCAATCGTCGGGGTTCGAGCGTGCGATGCCTCCAGGCATGCATTTGCGGAGGGAATGACCACCGCATGAGCATGACTTGACATGTTGGTTTCCAAGCAGCTTTTTGTTCTGCACCAGGTCTGATCGCCATGGGTTGTAAGGAATCTCTTATTTGGTGGCAGTCCTCAAAGCAACACTCTTTAGCTTGCATGTCAAGGATGGCAATGAAGCCAGCGCCTGCAACTCACGTCATGAATCAAGCGCTCATCCGCTCGCTCACCGGATAGCGCTGTTGAACAACCCCAGGGTCAGCTGGACACCCTCAGGATTGTAAATCAAAGCTCTTCTGAGCTTTCTCTTCCCCGTTGCCAGCTGCTAGGAACCGCAGCAATATTCACAGCAACGTGCGCCCAGCCTGCACAGGGTCTTTTTAAGTCTATTCGACGAATGAGAAGATCATCTTTTGCTATCTCTGTTATCGTTGCCCGCGCAATGAGCGCGCCACCAGGGCAAGCAAAATGCAATACTTGCCTCCAGCCACCCTGAGAATGCGGCGATGTCTCACGTAGCGTCCACGGAAGATGCCCAGGGAGGCTGCCACCCAGCACGGTGCTCACATTCCCGAATTGCACCAATGCTAGTGGAGCCAGACTCTGAAAATCGCCTAGAGCGCGCTTCCGCTGCGTTGACCAAAGGCTTCTGAAGCTTAGCGTCTGCTTCCAGCATGGATGACCTGACTGCCTCTGACGTGCTCCACGATCAGCCTGCCAGGACCTTGACACTGAAATGCCTTGGGATCGCAAGAACCACTCCGTAGGACCTCCGTTCAACGCCTTTCGAACGCCGAACTCCACCGGGGGAACGCAGGTCCAGTCACATGACACCAGCGGCTCTCCCGCGTAAGCCACGGTGACAAGAGACAGTCCTAGAATCTGGCGACGGTAGGCCGGCCAGCGGGGTTCTTCAAACATCTAAGGCTGGACAAGACTGTTGGACCCATGAATAAAAGGCAGCCCCGCGGGTTTCATCGACATCGCTGCTCCTACAACTGGGTTGCTGTTAAGGACCTTAACTTAAATTACTACATTGGGGCAAACAATATCAATATTAGTTATTACGTATACCCATCATGGTAACTTAAGTTCCTTAACAGCAACCCAGACAACCTCAGACAACCTCCTCACAATGGGGCCTTGCTCCAACGTGGTCAGCGCGACCTTGCCGGAGCCATCTGCATCTACCTCACTTGAAATGGAAGTACGCACCAGCATCCACAAAACTGGTGCACTGGTTGCTGGGGCCTTGAGGAACAACTGCTGCATTTCTGCGCGTGATGTCCCCAAAGGTAGCGTGGACCTTGGTTGTTGCCATCGCCCCCCCCCCCCCC